GTGTGTATGTGTTTGTTTGTTCGTGTATGAGTGTTTGTTTGTTTGTTCATGTGTGTGTTTGTTTGTGTGTGTGTGTGTGTGTGTTTGTGTGTGTGTGTGTTTGTGTGTGTCTATATTTTCCTTCCCCCGGTATTATACTCGTTACAAATCAATTTTTATTTTTATTTATTTAGTCACCATTCCCTTGGGGGGCTCTTGTGGTCTAGAGGTTAGGGTGTTCACCTCTCTCATTCAATAGTTCCTGGGTTCGAAATATCACATGACGGAAAATTTTCCTCTAAAAAATCTTCTCCGCCCCCCTCCCCCTTTCCTGCTCTCTAACCATGATCTGTAGTCTGCTTTCATCTCCACTTTCTCCTTCTCCCCTTCTCTTTTGCCCCCTCCTCTAGGCTCCTGACTCTTTCTGCCGCCTTTTTACTGCTACTCCTTGGCTCCTTCTTACTGCTGTCTTTCAACCACACCCCTGATCTTATAGTTGGAAAGATCTAACACCTAGCCTTCTCGGATAAAGTCAAAAAGTCTCGGAGGTCCACGTGTGCATGTTGCGCACATTAAAGCTCTCTTGGTGGTCCAGAATCGATAAGAGTTGGCTTTGGCTGCCACTTGGGCAAAATTCAAAATTTCCTACCAACTGAAAAAGCTTAATGTGTCACGCGCGCTTATATAACCTTATACAGTTGCGAGCGCCGTAAAACACCAAAAAAACCCTCTTCCCTTTATTCTTTTTTTTTCTTCAATGTAACCTCATTGTTTATTTTCTTAACTATTTAGTCATTTAATTGAGTATTTCTCTATCTATGTAGATCTATTAATTTATTAAACCTATCATTTTATCTGTGTATTTAGTGTTTATGTATTATGTGCACGTATATAAAATATATTATACAAAACGTAATGAAATAATATTATGATATCTTTTATTGTATGTATGTCGTATTAACGTGTGCATGTATAAAACAATCCAATTCGTTGTCCAGATCTGAAACACGTGGACACTCTCGCAGAGGAGGACACGACCAACTCGGTCAAAGTGAGTGGTCTAAATCCCGGATGTGGGTATCGTTTCCGGGTCATCTCGGTCAACGCCTACGGTCGTAGTCCGCCCAGTCGGCCTTCCAGTAAGTTACTTCCGCTCTCTCGTGGGCGGTGGTGCTGGACTCGGGGGGG